GTGGCAGCGGGGTGGGGCGGCACGGCGTGGTGCGGCCGGCGGCGTGGAGGTGGGGCTTGGGGATGGTCCGATGAAACTCGCTGGCAGCCAGCGACAGCGCCACGGTCAGCAGGGCAGCACCTCTGTGATGTGATGGCCCCTTGCCCTGTCGTTGGCGCTACGCGATGCGACGCCTCGCGCAAGATGCCGGCGGAAGAGGGGAAGGGATTTAGTTTGGGTGCTGCGCTGGTCCTCGATGTGTGGTTTCAGCTACCACAGGCGTTGACGAACACACTACCCTACCAGCAACACCGCCACCACAACCACAGCCGCCGCCGCCGCCACCACCACCACCACAACCATCACCACGGCCACGCCCACCCCTCCGCAACTCGGCCCCTTTCTCTTCCCCTCGTACTCGTTTGCTGGTAATGTGTGAGTCGGTGAGTGTGAGTCGCGGTCTGTTCGTACGTACGAATGTACTAATGTATGTGTGATGTGTGTCAGTGGATTTATCCATTTCGATCAGCAGATTTTCATCGGTGGATTGCACTGCGAAGCATATACGTCAGCAGCAGCTCCGTCCGCCTCGCCCTCACCGTCCTCGCCTTTGCCCCGCCCCTTGACGTGATGGAGCGTCCAGTCCATACTCCATAGCGGTAGCGGCGTTGCGCTCCCATCGGAGAGGTTGGAGCCGGCCCGCTCGGACGCTCCCCGCAGAGTGCAGGGACCACGGAGGCCGGACTACATAGTACCGGATGCAACAGACAGGGCGCCGGTGTATGCCGGGCTTGCCTGCTCTCAGGGTGTGCTCTGCGGCTGGATGCCTGGACCCACCGCCGCCTTCACACCTTTACATCGTACAGACGTCACGAAGTCCCCTTCGGTCGAGTAAGCTTCAGTGCGTGGGGCTGGGCAGGGGGCGGGGCGAGACTTGGGGCCCGATGACGAAGCGGTTGCCCTGCCACTGGTCCCGGTACCGCAATGCCGCAAGGCCCGAAGGCAGTGAGCGGCTGCCAGTTAACCCCCGCGCGCGTTTTTCTCTCCAAACACCATACGCGGCGAGAGGGGAAGGGCGAGGGTGCGCCCGCGCAGTCGTGGCGGAGGGTGGCGGAGCTCCAGGGGTTTGGGACATGACATGACTTGCTGCTGAGGGTCGGGTCACTGCCCCTCTGCCGTCTGTCTGTCTGTCTGTCTGTCTGTCTGTCTGTCTGTCTGTCTGTCTGTCTGTCTGTCTGTCTGTCTGTCTGTCTGTCTGTCTGTCTGTCTGTCTGTGTCGCGGCCCCGCTCGCGCGCCCGGTCCATCTCCATCAATAGCGTCGACAATGACGCGGAGGAGTCGCCACACTGGAGCCAACGGTGCGGCGTGCGTCGGGTGTGGTGGACGTGTGTGGACGTGGACAATGCGGTCGGTGCCGCGGGGCAGCAGACGACGCCCCTGCGCACCGTGTGCCGCGTGCCGCCGCCCGTCATCGCCGCGGTCCAGACCCAGGACCCAGAGCCGGCGGCGCCGGGTGTGTCGCAGCGGCTGCTCCGCGGGCGTCGGAGGTCTTCCCTGCCCCCCCCCTCCCCCTGATCACGCTGCACGGGGACACACGTGGCTCCGGCGGGCTATGGGCCGTCAATCAGTGCACGACAGGCGCATGGGTGCTGAGCACTGGCGGGAGACACCCTCTAATTCAACTGACGAAAAATGACACAGTATTACAATCGAGGGAAACTGATCGGTATCCCATCATCTTCGGTTCTGCGGGACGATGCAATTTGTGGGCCCTGTTCGTGATGTGGTACAGTACACCTGCGAAACGGAAAGGGACGCGTGGGCGACCACGTAGTATGTGATGTGGGACACGTGATTAATATTAGTAGGATGGACGCACTATCAGGTAGAATGACTGTTTAATTTCACTGTAAATCAATAGGACGGCAAAAGGCCACAAAACCACACACTGATAACGAATAGATAATACATTGAACTCGGGGACACTCACAATAAAATGGAGTATTTCAATGGAGCTCGAAAAGGAAGAGAGAAGAACAATCCCGGATCCAGAGAGCAGTGGTGGGGGTGTGGATGTGGGGAGAGGCGCGGGCAGTGGGGAGCGGCCACCGCTCACCCGCCGCCTATCCCCGCGTCTATCCTCACTACAGCTCTCTGGATCCGATTTTGTTCTTCTTACTTCCTTTTTGAGCTCCGTTGAAATACCCCATTCTTCTCTCATGACGCTCATGATGGTTGCACATAGCGCTATTCATTCAACTCTACATCATGGCACCTCCTCTCTTAGGTCCATTCACAAAAACAAAAATATGAATAAAAAA